TTAGGGTCCAGTCTAAGCTGCTATGATCTTATCTCTACCCTTATACGAAATACATCTGCAAAGACTCTATTTCCAAATAAGGTCACATTCTGAGGTTCTGGGTAGACATGAATTTGGGGGGAGACTATTAAATAGCTATCAACTAATCCATTTGTCAAACAGAATTGTGGTGGCATCCAACCTGTCCTCCTCACCCTCTGCACGTAATTGTCAAATCCTGTTTCTACTTCTTTAATGGAAGATTATCTCCTTTTCTTCATCCTCATTACCATTTTCATTTCAGTAACACTCTTGCCTACATAGCAAACCCCTTGCTACAGCACTGGATCATTACTGTCACCACTGTGCCTGTTACTAACCATGTAAGCATTGCTGGAGAAAGTCACACAACAGGGCAGACATGTTGTACCATGAATTTATGATAACTAGCTCCAAGTAAGTCCCCAACCTTGCCTGGCAGTCCTTCTATTTCTCTGGCCAGCTGGCTCTCCCACTCCTGCCTAACTATTTCAAAACTTTTTACTCTCTCCAAGCTCTTATTACTCTCACCCACTTTCAGCAGTTGTCCCAGGCTCCAATTTTACAGAGAATAAAGAAACCATCAGACAAAAACTCTCAACCTCCCACCTTCTGCTCTCACTGTTTTCCCCTCCCTCAACACGGTCTCCCTCCGCCTCAAAGTACAACAGCTGTCCTTTCAACATAAGGCCATTCTCTCTACATGTATCTTGGATCTCCTCTTCGTTCAGAAACCTTACGAATACTAATTACCCCTTTCTTTCGCTAGAATATTCAGCTTTCCTCTCAACTAGGTGCATCTCACTGGCCTGTAAATACGTTTAATTTTTATAACAATACCTCCCTGGAAACCCATACTCTTCCTTCCTGCTCCCTATCCACCCACATTTACTCTTTCTGCCTGCTTTTCTCTCCAGCTCCTGCTACCTCCCACCAAGCATAAATGTGTGTTTTGGAGAAACTGGTTTCTCTAGCTCTGGAGCCTTGGGCCCCTTACTTAATCCTGAGTAAAATGGAAATAATAATAATACTAAACCTAGCACAAAGAACTTTCATGAGAATTAGGTGAATCAATATATGCAAAACACATAGTCTGGCCATTAGTAATTGATCAATAAGGTTAGCAATACAGTTATTTTTAATAATAACTCACACCTATCTACTTATCCAGCCAACTGACATTTGGAGTCAACCTAAATTCCCTCATCCCTTCATTCCAATCCATTTCTAGGCTGTTTATTTGCACCTCTCAAGTGTCTCCTGTTCTGAACACTTACCTCCACCTCACTCTCCTACCCTGCACCATCCTACCCTCACTATCCTCTCATATGGGTCAGAGTAAGAACCTCCTAAATGATCTCCTGCGTTCATTCTGTTCACTATCCCAAACTCTCCCCTTACCCTAGCTTGAGTGGGCTAATCTAATCTCATACCTGAGGTTACCATCTAGTTTAAAACATTTCCCACTGCTATGATACAGCCCCCCAAATCTACTGCATGGCCAATAAAATCAAGTAGATATGGTCCCTACCCACCTGTTCAAACTTATTTTGCCTCTCGTTTCTTAGGCCCTTTGCTCTTGTAACACATACCAACTTTTTTTCAGTTCTTCGAGTGCATTATGCACTTGCCCTTCACAGGTGCGTTCCATTTTCTGTTCTCTCTACTGGAATACTGAATGATATTCCTATTTCTTGTGGCCTAATTAATTCCTACTTATCCTTTATGTCTTAACTCAATGGTCACTTACAAAAGGAGCCTTCCTGATCCCCCAGAACAGGCTCTCATTATTCTAGGTACCTTTCATAATACTCATCAAAGTTGGAATTTCACACTTACGTGATAATTATTCCAATTAACTATCCAATAGAATCCAAGCTTTGTAACAGAAATGACTGTGTCCATTTTTGCTCTCCATTGTATCCCAAATATCCAATACAGCATCTGGCACCATAATTAGTGCTCAATAAATACATACTGAATCAATATTAACCTTCAAGTTCAATGCTACAAAATGGCCTCACTGCTTGTTTAAAAACAGGACAGCTTTAAAGCAGTAAAAGAATAGTACGTCATTAGTTCATTATAAACATGTCTCTAGACCAAAGTTAAAAGTTTCTCCACTGATGGCTGTGAACAGTAAATCGCTTTAAAAAGATATACTGATTCAGCAATTGTTGACAGAAAGGAGGATGTGACAGATGTATTGTTTTGCTGTTATTTTAAAGAAGGGGTATAGAGGTAGAAAACTGCATTTCCAGGTAGAGAGATGGGTTTTTATAAAGTACTGGTTCTCAATCTTTGTTCCACTCCAACACACTAATACTACTATTACTACTAGTACTCTTACTACTGTCCCAATCAGTACTTGTGACTCCAGCACAGCTGTCACCAAGTAGCTTACCATAGCAGGGATTCTCAAGCAGGTGGGGAGGGTAAGTAAGAGAGATGTGAGTAATTTGAAATGACACTACCTCAATATATTCTGATATTCTTTGCCCTCCCCTTCCCCTTATAAATAGCCCTCTCCCCAAATATAACTTATGGCAAGCAGGAGTCACATAGATGTCATTTATATTTTATTTTAAAATGTAACCTATGATTTTTTTGCAGCTAAAATTGTTCTAACTACCATGTTAATATTAAACATGGTGTTACCTAAAGACACAATAACTGGGCAGAAGAAGGAGCAATCTGCAAAGATACTCAAGGCCAATTTAAATATGAGTTAGCCATACTGGAGGTATCTGTGTTTTGATTATAAAAATATTTTATTATGGTAATATGGTTTAAGGTATTAATCTCTAAAACCACTGAAATTCAGTGCACACCTGTTATATCAAACCACAAATGGCCTCAAATGTTCTATCTTAATGTCCATATCCTTAAAACAATAGAACTAATTCAATCCACTTATTAAGAAATAAAACAGGGCTAGAAAGTATGGAAATCTTTTCTAAGATTTCAAGATCTCAGGGACTGATAACAGTATATGAAGCAACCTCTGAAATTCTGCAAATAATCCAACAGATCTACCTCGAAAGGCACTACTAACAATGAACCTCTCTCCTCAGCAGTACATAACCAATTCCATGAAGACTGTAACATCTGCTAAATGTAGAAAGATTAACCCCACAAACAGATAAGTCAAATGTAAGTGAAAAAACACAAAAACAAAATGTCCCCTCCCCATTTTCTAAGATCTTTTAAGTCAAGGGTTTCAAGCATGTTGAAGAAACATGCTCACATCATGACAGGCTAGCATTTCTTATTTTGAGAAATAGCTCCACCTCCTAAGCCAGGATGTGCAGTCAGAATATGTAATTACAATTTCTGAGAAAAAGAATATACATAATTTATTACAGCTCTGAATACTCATCTAAAATAAAGATGAAAAAGACAGAGCACTACCTCCTACTCACAGAATAATCATTTCTCCAAAATTTGAATTTATATCTGACATCAAAATATCACTGTTGAAAGTATCCTTTGGTCACTTAAAAAAAATTAGGTAGATAGTGTTTCATTTTTAAAAAAGCTGTTTATCCTCAGTAGATACTTGCAGTTGTAAATGATATGAAAGTTCTCATGTGGCAAAAGCTACTTTTGTTCTGTTATTTAAAGCTAAAGTACTATTACTAAAAACCCTTAAATGCATTTTCACCACCTGAAAAATAAACTATCTTCTAGAAATAACTACTAATCAAGAAATCAAGAAACATTTTCATACACCTAGAAGAAGTGATTAGCTTCCTATCAGCACCTCCATTCCAACCTTTTCAAAAAGGATGGAAGAAATGAACAGTTCTTTCAACAAAATCTCTGATTTGCATCTACGCTAATCACAGATGAATTATACCTTTTTCATGGCTAACTGACAGGGAAGAGAAAGAATGCCAACCACTAATCATAGAGAGGATATATATCTGATATTCATATTGATTTGAATCCACTGGGTACTCTCAATCATTATAACCGATAGCAATGATGACTTCTTAGGAAACCTAATGTTCAAAGAGCTTTGCACATTACTGATTATTCTACTTTTATCTACTTTAAGATGAAAGATTCATTCTCTTAAATTATCTAGTTAGCAAATGCTCTTTATGTAGTAACATTCATCTCCCATGTTTCTAAATACTGTAATAATGCATTAATTTAACTTCCTGCACAATGTGGTAGGTGTTTTTTTTTTTCCTTTTTTGGAACCACCACCACTCCACCCACACCCACAACCACAACCAAGATTAGAGACTGAAGCAAATGACCATTCTTCCACACACTTTCACAAATAAATCCAGACTTTGGGAAATAGGGTAAAGAACAAACAAAACCTCAATGTTACAAGTTATTTGAAAAATTGTATAGAGTATTCTGGTGGTATCTGCCTGTAATTTAAAGACCAACTGTAAATTGAGAAGAACACTGATACTATTCTGTTTTATTCCACTAAATTTTCCTAAGAGCTCTGATAGAATTCCCCTAAATTGTTCATGCATGCAAGGAATAGTATGTCTGTGTGCAATAGCAGACGTTGATCTGAAATAGTTAAAAACAATCAACACTCTATCAGTCTGGTGATACACAAACCTAGTTTATCAATGTGAAAATCCATATAAAAACTCAAATGTTGCAAGGTGGGCTAAGATATTCTTAGGATAGAGAATCTTTGAGCTCAAGTCTTTGGTTTGTTAATGTTAGATGTACAGTATGCTGGTATAATCAGTTCCTGTTTCCTCCTCATAGAGATACTAGGAAGGTGGGTGACAGGACCCCAGGACACCCACAGGTCGATCTACACCCCTTTTTCTACAACCTCACCTCACTCCTTTCCTTTACACATATATACACACGCACTCCCCTGTCACATTTGAAGCCCTGGTGCCCCAGTGGGTAGTTTTCTAGGGTCTTTTCACCGGTGCGTTAAATGGGCTCTGATGACTGGGGTTAAATGCCACCTCCTCGAAGGGCCCACAGCTCACCTCTAGCTTGTGGTTGATTTGGGACACAGTCTGGGCTTTATGGCAAAGCTGCGCAAAGCAGGAACTCAAGCTGGTCATCTTCTGTCTCCCCTCATAAGTGATGTCCGCCTGGTCCGGATCGATCTCACCCAGGAGCAGATCCACATCCACGAAGGCCTTGTCGAACTCCTTCTCTAGCACCTCCAGCCATCGGAACATGGATACCCCGCCGGGGGAGACCCCTACGGCGCAGGAGGCGCCCCCTGGGCCCCCTCCGGCTCCTGCCGGGCACGGGCCGCCCGCCGACATGGCGCCGTCTAGGGCCTCCCCCGACTGCTACTGACCCCCGCCGCCCGCCCACCCCGCGCGAGAGGAACTGCTGGGACTGCGGGGACCCCCGCGCACGCACGCTCCGTCGGTCCCTTCCCTTCCCCTCGCGCGGCTAACGCCGGCAACGCAGCCCCAGAGTGGCAAGAGCAGTGAAGCCAAGGCGGCGGCGGCGGCACACGGAAGAATCGGGCAGTCCCACCTCCCGGCCCGCCCCCGCTGCGCATGCGTAGCGAAGACTTAGGCGGACGCAGCCTGGAGGGATGAAATGGGCGGGGCTAGGATGCTACCTTGGCCTATGAAAAGCCTCTGCTTGGGACCGGCCCGTCAGTGGCCATATTGACAACTGGCAAACTCCAGCTTGAATTCCCGAGAAACGGGAACGCGTCGTGTTTGCTTCCAAGTTGGAAAGGCCCGAGGAAGAGAAGGGTGTCCACGTCGCAGACATGAACGGCTTCCGCCCATTTGACTTCACAGTGGGCGGGAGCCTATCTAAAGTCCTCTAGGACAGTTGCGGCGGAGACGTCCAGGGGCAGGGAAGGGAATGTGAGGCAGGGCGGTGTGAGCATGCGCAATGGCCACGTTTTACCTTTCCATTACAGTGCCTGTGGAGGGTGAGGTGGGTGGACATACGGGTTCTTCTTGCTAAACCAGGCCCTAAATTCCGGGTGGAAACTGCCTGGAGCTGTGCGTTGAAGGACGGCGGCCGACCAGGTTTTGCTGAATTCATGCGGGACCTTTTGTCTTGTGATTAAGAGTCAGGCCGACCTGGGTTCAAGTTTTACACCCAGTCACATATTAGCTGTCCCATTTAGTTGTATTCTTTAACTTCAAAGCCTTAGTTTCTAAAATTTACTTCACTCGGTAGAAAGGTAAAATGCTTAACTTCAGTGCTTGGCACTTGGTATTCCTTAATATTGCACCACAGGTCATACGTTTCCCAAGGAAGTGTTTTAAAAGTGTACTTATTTCAACAACTGAAGTGTTCCCACAGTGACATTTCATAAAAAAAAAAACGACTCTGAAGATTCATATATTGGACAGACACAAGTGAGACATGAGCCTAACTCAAGCAGAGCTCGTAGGCTGGCGAGTCTAACCCTCATAGCTACAATTTTTATTTGGAATTTTGTAGTGCTTTGGAGTGTTTACAAACTGCTCTTTACCATTAGCCTATTCACTGTCAACCCCCTTCCACTTCTAGAGTAGTCCAGTCTTAGAAAGGGAAGGAGAAATCAGACCTTAGAGTAGGCTGGTGAGAACTGTCTCTCTTGCATTGCCTAAGGAAATATTGTACTAGCCCACTATAGACTCCTGTGATCTGGAACAGACTCTTCCAGTTGATCACCACCAAAGCCTATATTGTGTACCCCTCACCAACGCAATGACATTGAGGAATAAGAAATCACAGCTCTAGTTTGCTCTCTGGGTACTGCAGGGCACACTAGTTAGCATTGGTCAATAAAGTCCTTTGGCTTCAGCAAACTTAGCTAAGCAAAACTGAGATTTTGCCTTGAGCTTCAATAGGCACCTTCACATAGGTTTTAATACACAATAAATAATATAAAACTAAAATATGTATCTGTTCTCATTCCATTTCAAATTAACTATTTCCATCTGCAATATTTGCAAGAACATCATTACTACAGCTACCAAGGTCCCAGCCACTTTCTCTGTACATATTATGGTTAGCAATGCATTTTTCAGGAATTTGAAGTAAATAACTTAAAATTGGAGGGGAGCACATACATGGAATCACATTAAGAACAGCTTTCAGGGGGCGCCTGGGTGGCTCAGTTGATTAAGGGTCTGCCTTCAGCTCAGGTCGTGATCTTGGAGTCCCAGGATCCAGTCCCACACGGGTACTTCCTGCTCAGCAGGGAGTCTGCTTCTCCCTCTGACCCTCCCCCCACTCATGCTTTCTCTCTCTCACATTTTTCTCTCTCAAATAAATGAATAAAATCTTAAAAAAGAACAGATTTCAGTTGTTTAAAACACTATGTGTAAAGCATTATGCTATTTGCTTTAATTCTTTGACACTAAATCATATGAGGTGGCTATTATTCACTTTTTAATAGATGATTTTACGGATGAGAGTTTAAGTATCTTGGTAAAGTCATACAGCTAATAATCAAGTGAGGTGAGATTTCAATCTAGTTGTCTTTTCCTCCGAAGTCTTAGCTATTAACCATGGAATATAGAGGGATGAGGGAATCCATTTCTTTTTGTATAAGTCACTAGCATAATAAATGGGCAAATCAGTCCAAAACTTTTTCTTTTCTTTCTTTCTTTTTTTTTTTTGAGAGGGGGGAGGGGCAGAGAGAGAATCCTAAGCAGGCTCCACCCCAGCACAGAACCCTAGTGGGGCTTGATCCCAGGACCCTGAAATCATGACCTGAGCCAAAATCAGGAATCAGTGCTTAACCGACTGAGCCACCCAGGTATCCCTGTCCAAAAATTTTTCTAAAAAATAAAAAATAAATGTATTCCCACTTATAAGCCATATACAAATCTATTAATATGTAAGAAATAGTACCCAAAAAGTAATTATAATACTCATTTTCTCTTATCACTCTCTAGTTGGTATGGACTATACTTGGAAATAAATTTAACTTCTTTAAAAAAATATCATTCAACTTCCTGTGGTACTGTGTGGGTATGGCTGAAATGCATTTTAAGTGTTTATGCTTCCAGTGCTCTGATCCTCGGTGAATACCCCATTTTCAGGATTGTAGAACCCAGTTCCAGTTCTGTTTACAACCTTTACAACTTCAACAAATCACACTCTCTGTGTCTCAGAATACTTTTATCTTGTGTTGTCCCTTCTCATGATCCCACTATGTAGCAGCAGCCACATCTCTGTGTGCTTGCTATTTTGGTACTATGTGACTATTTCAAATATTCATGAGGTGCCCTCTATGTAGACATTATCTTTGGCCCACCTCTACCAGGGATTTGCATTTCTGCAAGTCACAACCTAATACGGAAGGGAAAAGCAGGGTTTGATATTCCAGTGCTGCCATCTGTTGTCAGAGTGCTTTGCCTACATTTATTGCCTTCCCCCTCCCTTGATAAATTTATCTACCTATCTATCTATTTATTTATTTATTTTTGATTGCCTTATCTTGACCTACTCTAGAACTTGGAATTGTATGTAATCTCAATTCCTGTGGAATTTGTTTTCTTAGAGATAATAAAATGTTGATACTTCTATTTGCAATTGCATTGGCAGAAACTTCCAGTAACTGTTCTATGAATCATGCTTATGTGATTAAAAATTTCTAATAGAACTTAAATGTGACAGTTTTGTTTTAGGAACTTATCCCTCCGGAGTTTTGCCACAAGGTATTTCTAAGAATAAATGGGGTGGGAACTGAGGAGACTGGGAAAAAGAGAAGGTGCTGAGGATTTCTTGGGTGAGTACGGGTACTTAAGCTGTGAGGTTAGTGTGGAGTTCAAACATGTATCAGAGCGTCTTCGATTGCAAAGGCACTATGTTGAATGGCCATAGAAGACGCACTCTGGACTGGAGAGGGAGACTACCATTCATTAAACTCTACTGTGTGCCAGGCCCTGTACTAAGCTTCACAGATTTCATTTAGCGTCTAGTAACCCCACCAGGAAAAATGAAAAGGTAAAGTAAATGATGTTGGTCGCTATAAACAGTTGTATGATGAATCAAGCCAAGGAAAATCCACTACATTTTACTTGAGCAATGTGGATAAAGTCTTGGAAGATCCTGTTCATACGTATTATTTAAATTATATTTATTCACATTTACTAACAATATGAAATTTCGAGTTAGGCATAGTGAAGAAGTAAGTCTGGGCATCCCAAAGTGATTTCTGAGCCTTATTCTCCTTCTGATAATTTCTTTTATATATACATATAGAAAAACTGCCCTCTTCTTAAAACTTGAGAATTTTGGTGCAATGATTTAGGATTAGACAGACCAGACATCTCTTCCAGGAAACCTTCCTTTTTTCTTCTCATGTGGCGCTATAGCCACCATCACCATTTAGTTTCCTGCATACACTTGCTACAACACTCATCATAGTCTTTTGGAGCCCCTTAGACTGTGAGCTCCTTGCAGCGGTAACTGTATCTTCTCTTCGAATTCCAGGTCCTAAAGCAGAACATAGAATATGGTCGGAAAGATGTAGGTATTTGTGGAATCAGTTTAATAATTAAGATATTACAACAGTCTACTTAGGAATCTAAAAACTGTCACTTTTCAAAACATACCTTTGATACCTGCCAGAGAGCATAGTTAAATGTATTTTTATATTGGCACAGGAGTTAGGAATATGTACAAAATACATGTTTGTCTTTAAAATCCAAGAAGTATTTTTTCTCAACCAAAAGAGAAGGGTTTATTTAACAATGGTCTGGTTGATTTGACTAATAATGCACCCAGTATAATTTAAACTTTGAGAGTTATTTTACCTCTTCCATAGTTAAAACTTATGAGCCACTACATTTTTGTGTGGTGTACCCAAAACTAAAGACAAAACATAACAAAAAACAATTTTCAAAATCTCTATTACTACGTTTTTTTCCTTACTCAAGACCAACTACAACTGCTTTTCCACCTGTTACCTGATTTACATCCTTTATTTACCCTTTCCCACAGCTCTAGGTTTGATGCAGCGTTATCTAAAACCACCATTTATCAACAGTGGTATCAGAGTTTACTAATCATTGATTCTTCCTCTTTCATCCACTGTCAAGTCACTGTTTATTTCTCAGATTGTCAGACTTTACAGATCAAACATAGACTCCCCCCTCATCAGCCCCTGTCATTTATGCTTCTTATAGATTAATTCTACAAGGGGCCCCAAACAAATGTGTTCTGAACACCATTTAACATTAGTTATCTTTTTTTTTTTTGCACTTAGATTAAAAAGTGTAAGAATACCTAAAATCATCTCCTTAGAATTTTTATAGTCTTCCAAACGAACCAGTCAGAGAACTGTAGGGAAACAATTATATAAAAGCCATGTCACAAGAGTTGTTGGAAATGGAATCTGTTTGGCCCCAGTTGATTGTAACTCACTCAAAACTCATTTGGCTTTTGTGGCCATGGAAAGCAGAGGGGGTGAAGATGAAAAGACTTTTATAGTGGATATTCATCACTATAAATGGGGGAGCTGCCCAAACAGAGGTTGAGCCCCCTCTGTGTAGGGAATTCCTCTATCTAGGGAATTCCCTACCTTTTGTAACTTGAATACGGTAAACAGAGTCTTCTTCGCATAATGAACTGAAGTTGTCTAACAAGCATACTGTCCCGGCTCTGTGAGTGCTGGAGCACAGGCATATCACCTGGGGTCAGCTAACCAGAATAATCCACCTGGGATTTTTACCTTGGAGACAGTGAGGCAAGGACTGGGGCAGTTCCTCTTGGTAGGGAGGAGAGATGGGACTGGAAGTAGTGACACCTTTTTTCAGCAGCAGTGGGGGCCAGCAGTGGTACACAGTTTCTGGTTCAGCGGCGGAGGCCAGGGCATCCATGTTCATTGGTGACAGATGGAAGTGTGATTTTTGCCTGTGACTCTGGCTATATAGGCTTCCTTTTATTCTTGCCATTTCCAAACCTGGTTCCCTAGGTTTTCACAATTCTGTGTGCTACCCAATTATCCATGATTCCTTTTTCTGCTTAAGTTAGCCAGAATTGTTTTTCATTGCTTGTAAGTAATAACCTGAACCTATACAACTATTGTGTACTGAGACTTCCTTTTCACCCATGGACTTGACATGACTTAGTTCATCTATTCCTTTCTGTAGAATGGAAATTATTTCCCTTCATTTTATCTTCAGTTACAGAAGAAAAAATTGAGATTTGGAGAGGTTAAGTAGTAGAAAAATTATTTTTTGTCTTACTTTAAACACTTTCTGCAGCACTCCCAAGAAGGAAACAAGATTTATTTATTTATTTGAGAGAGAGAGAGAGAGCAAGGGTAGGGGACAGAGGGAGAGAGAGAGAATCCCAAGCAGACTCCCCACTGAGGGCAGAGCCAACGTGGGACTCGATCTCATGACCCTGAGATCATGATCTGAGATGAAATCAAGAGCCTGATGCTCAACTAACTGAGCCACCGAGGCACCCCAGGAAGGAAACAAGTTTAAAAAGAATCATACTCATAATTTTTGATTCTTTAAAACTTCTTTTATCTCAGAAGGAGATTTTCATAAATTAAAGCCTTCTGTTTAGCTCTTGGTTGATCAGTTTTATAACAGGAATCACAAGCCAATGCTTACAAACCCATATCACAGAAAACTTGGGTTAGTCAGTTTCTTCTCTAGAATTCAGTTTCCTGTCTATTATAGGAACTAGCCCTTGGCTTTTAATAAACCAAGGAAGGCCAATATCCATTGCATTGAGATACACATTTTTATTTATTGTGGGGTTTCTTAACAAAGGCACTGTTGACACGTTGGACTTCTTAGTTCTTTGTTGTGGGGCCGTTCTGTACATTGTAGAGTTAGTTTAGTAGCATCCCTGGCCATTACTCTCTAGATGCCGGTGATACTGTCTACCCTCTCCCAATCACAATGACCTTTTATTGTCATAGAAAATGCCTCCAGACATTGCCAAATTGCCCCTGGTTGAGAATCCTTGGGTTCTGGAAAGGAGCAAATGAAGGGAAGTCAGGAGGGGGAATAAAGATAAAAAAACATGAGAAAGCAAGTCAGGGAGGATCCTGGCTTGAGAATCTAAACAAAAGACATGAATCTAATTCAATCCAAATTCAAATGCAAAGCATATTCTTTGAGGTGGCAATCTTTCTAGTGCTGAAAGATTAAACCTAGATTCTGGGCTATATTTGAACAGTTGCTAGGTGAATTATTTGTGTTTCCATTCTTGAGAAAGACACCCTTGTTTCTTTACTAGGTTTCTCCTTGCCCAAAGAAGCCAAGCAATAATGATCAGATAAGGTGTTGTTAAATCTTTTTAGAGAAAAAAACAGTATGTCTCACCCTTAGCCTTAGGGATCCATAAACTCAAGACCTAAAAACACAAGCTAAATGTAGGGAATTTTACAACCGTAGCCCTTCGTTAACATGGGAAGACTCCGAAAGTCTGCAGAAAGCGCACCAGGAGCTGAGTGGTGGTGGTAGTGTTTGTGACTTCTTAGCACAACATAACTGCAGAGGGGCCTGTCGCCTCCAGAGCAGGTGCAACAAAACATGCGTGTCCTTCAAACACCAAGCCTGTACATTTGTACTCTACTTTCCCTGCAGTTTATGCCATCAATAAGACTTTGCCTTCTACCTGAAAAGAAATAAAAGACTTTTCAGTTTCACTCTAAATAAATAGGTATGGTCTGGGGGAACCAATAGAGCTTTTATTCTTCAAATCATTTTCAGACTTTTTAATGATCCAAATTATTTATATTTGTCATGTTCAAATCAGGAAACAACCTACACTTAGTAGTTAATCAAACTGGGACAATACTCTTGATGGACTCTTACACGTTTAAATTTATATTTATGGAAATATACAATCACATGAAAAATATAATAGTAAAAGGGGCAGAATACATAGTTGTATATGAGTATGTTTAAAACCTGATAAAATAAAACTGTTCACAGCATAAAATAGTAACAAAGATAATGCCAAAATTTCAGGAAAACTATGGAAATACCATGGAAGAAAAAAATGTAATACAGTGTAATTTCAGGGCTCAGTCAAAGCAAAGGGTATCCTGCAGTGACCAACAGAGGATAGGAAATGGAACTCATCTCTATGCTACAAAACAGAAAAATTAGGTGTCAACTGACGGTAGATGACAGCATAGGGTTTGGTAGGTATTTCCTTTTAAGTAACCATGCATTTACTCTTTTAGCAACACAGAAGAAAAAAAGTGTTCCATGAGTATTTCTCTTTGTTTTTTCAAAGTCTAGGCAGAGAAAAGAAACTGGAAAACTGTTTGATTGGGGCACAAGACTAACATTGATTTTTTTTTCCCCTCCTTGCTCTTTTTTTCCAAATTTTCTTTTATTGAGCATGACTTTCCGATTTGGAGATTCTAAAATTTAAAAACAATAATTCTGTCACCAGACAAGAGAAATAAATGGTCAAGTTTGTTGAAAATCAGAATATTGATAGAAAATAAATCTCTTATTTCTTATCTCAGATAGTAAAAGAAAACAGAGGTAAAAAAAAATCAGAAAAGAGGAGCAGACAAGTCTTTTGAGAAAAGCACACAGAAATCCTTACTCTAGAAATAGAATGAACTGATTATTAGAGGAAAAAAACTTTTGGCTTCACAATGAAAACTGTAGCAAAGAGAGGGGGGTTGAAGAGCACATCAGAAAAGCTTTTCAATATTAGAAAGGGTTTCTTTGGAGCAATCCACTCAGGCCAACCAGCGTGGGGGAAATTCAGGTCTTCCACCGGGCAGAAGAAAGCTTTTCTATATAATCTTCTGCTTGAAATGCTTTTAAATTCCTCAGCAGGGATGAGCCCAGCAAGTCAAAGAGCCTCAACAAAGGCATGCCCGGGACAAATGAAGGCTTCCCTCCGCAGTGGGGCTTCAGAACACACAAGTTCCTCTGAAGAAACTAGAGGCCTTTTCTTCCATTACGACAAACAGATGAAGGTAAGGGACCCATTTTGATGTTCCATTCTCATCTGAGTCAACAGTATTTTTGAATGGCAGAAATATTGTCCAAATATGATAGTTGGGTGGATCAGGTGATAGATGAACCGAACAAGTTATCTGTGGCTATAAACCTCTCTCCTTGGTAGCACATTGTTTCACCTAGCAATAAAATGTTACTGGAACAACAATAATAAAGAGAAAACCTGCCCATTTCCCCATACTGGTTAATAGGAGAAGAAAACACCTGCCTGTTGCAGGCCTACAAAAATGGTTTTAATACAGGGTCACAGAAAATTCAAAGGTTTATAGCCCACTATAAAACAGCTCTTTGTCTTTTCCCACTAATTCCCTAGTGTCACATTTAACAAAACAAGGAAACTACAGATAGTAGAGGTGTTTGCTGATTAGCCTCCCAAGCCATAAATAACCGAGGGTTTTGCTCACCTACAAATATGAAGGTAGCTTATCAATGTTTAAGCCCTTTGTAATTGTTGCTAACATTTTAACCCAGGCAAATTGAGAATTTTTTCTTTCCTGTCTTCTTACATTGACAGAGTACACATTCATAAGATTCTATTATCAGATTTCATGGTATAAAGAGTGACACATCCCCTAAACACTCGCCCGCTGCCTGGGAGGCCCCCTTTTGGAAGATGCTTCTGCTTTATGCTTTCCTTGTTTTGCTTTCTCTTAGCTATGGTTTCCATCCTACCTGTCCTGGCCGATGTAGCTGTGATTCCGTGTACTCGGTGCAATGCTACAGGCTAACGGAGCTGCCATCTGCTCTTCCTTCCACCACCAAGAAGCTCTACATTAGCCACAGCAAAATTCCACACCTTCAGGTAACTGTTCTACGGTCCAGTCGCCACAATCTTATTTTTTGAGGCAGGGTGAGGGGCAACTGTGGAGCTGTAAATGATCAACACTCAAAAGTGGTGGTTATCAAGTTTGGGTCATTGCACTAACTATCTGCTTGCCCTTTACTGCTGAGATGGGTATATGCCTCTGGATATTTCTTTTTAGATACAGAATCAAGAACCATCAGAATCTATCATTAATGATGTTTTATTTCAGTTTTTATTTTTAAAAAATGTAATTACGTTGTTGCAAAGTAGAAGTAAAGAAGTGGCTCTTTCTTAAAGAGAGTTTGAGAGCAAATGGCTATTTGCTGTCCTCATGATTAAGGATGAGTGCTTTCGGGGGATAAAAAGGACTTTTGTTTGTGCCATAGAAAGCAGGTGATCCTTAGAGCATTGTAAGACTATCAGGATGAAGCCCAGCATATGAGAATTATTTATAACAGACCCTACATACCTGCCAGGCATCGGGGGCTTTGTGGAAACATCTACGGAGGAAATACGTGTTTTTGTTTTGGTGTGTTATTGCAGTACTTGTTCTATGAACTTTTAATTTTGACTTTTTTATTTATGCCTACCTATTCAGAGTGCTGCAAAGAGTGCTATAGATTTATCTGAATTTTATAATACAAAGGAATTTTGTTTTTGGCCTTTGATATTTTGGAAGTTATGGAGAGACAAGGGTTCTTATCCTAATTTCCCCCCTAGCCAGAGATATAATCATCTTAAGCAAACAGTTAAAACATCTCTGGGCCTCACTTTTTACCTTTGTGAAGTAAGAAGTTTGGGTTAGATTGGTGATCCCGGGCTCCTTTTACCTGGAAAATTCTATGGCTCTCTGATTTTGTCTTTACCAGTCACTGCTCTTCCCTCCCAGATCCAAATCCCAAGATAAGGAAATACATCTCCGATGCAGGTGCAGAGAGTCAGCAGGTGGATGTACTTTCCTTCCAAATAGAGACACCATCCCCTTTCATTTGGTTAAGAAATTTGAATATAGGTGCGCCTAAACACGGAGAGCTTAAAGTATGTGGCGTGGTATTGATATCAAGGCTCAATAAGCAAAATTGCCTAGTGGACATGTTTATTGTCCTCTTGTAATCCATTAGTGCCTAATGCCAGAGAGCAAGTCTGACCCCGTCAGGTCTCAGCATTCAAGCAGGACAGCTGGCTAATGGGCAAGGTGCTTAAATATTTGTTCTGAGGGCCTGAGATGCCAAGAGCTGAAGTATCAGCTAAGCCCGGTAATGATTCATCACTGTTGCTTGCAGCCAGTAAGATGAAATTATACCTCTCATCAAATTCAGTGATTGAATGAGCACGTTTGTCATTGGTTTATGTTCTCTGAATGGTAATACTGCCACTTTTCTGACTTTAACCTAGTTAATTGTCTCTTGGAAGGGCAGTTTCAGCAGAGAGGTTGATTAAAGACAGGATTGTTTTGTGAAGGAAATAAAAAGCTCTAAGCAATAATACATCTCTTTTAAAAACCCTTAGGTTTTAAATGACCGTATTTTACCTTTGGTGAATATGATGTACATTCTACAGAATCAGGTGCCTGTATACCTTAGAATATCTTCAGATTAATAGCAATAGAAATTATATACATATGTATACACACATATATACGAACACATACATATATGCACACACACCGCATACGAACCATGTGTACACCTATGAATACATACATACATCTCACAATTAAAAATGTTCCTATTACTTATTTGTATAATTTGTGTTTGTGACTGTGAATGCTGTGTTTGAGACTAGGGATAAAAGATGAAAAATTCACAGTTCCTGCCCTCAAGACATGAGGGCCTTTATTATCCATTCATCTGTAAAACCGCCTACTTGTTTGAGGTGCAGGCCACTGGGCTGTAACACTCCTTGTTTCTTCTTCCTTTGTCTCACGCTGTGCCTCAGCCCCTTCCCCTCCTGGCTTCTGGTCTTGCTCTCCATCCTGAGTCCTGCATCTTCTTGGTGCTGTCAGGGCACAATGTCCTAGCTCATAAGAATTCCCTGAGCTCATGAGAAAGTATCCATCTACGTTTGCACTTCTCCACAGCCATCTACTTGGTGATAGCATAACCATTATACCTGAAACCCCTCCACTCAGAAATCTCGAATTCTCCCACTCTCTGATCATTATCTTCTCTGCTTTCAGCCGCCATACTCTACTTTTGCCACCTCACGGAGACTTCTAACCCTACATCTACCTGGATAGCTGGGTGCCACTGGAGAGGATCACACAATGTCTCTACACATACGTGTGTATAAATGTGTGGTTTGGAACAACCACAAATTTGTAGAAACACTGCAAATTTAAGGTCTCTGACCTCACCTGAGTCTTCAGGGTCACCCAGCTGTCCTTTCAATTCTTCTTGGCCAGGCTTTCCTACATTCCATCAACATCTTCCAAAACTTCAGTCTGGTTTGGGTTGTCTTCTCAATCCCTACTATCCTCATTCTCATCCATGGTTAGCCTCCCATTTTATTGACTAATCCTGACAAAACTGAGGCCATTAGTCTTGATCTCCCTCAACTCCCGCTCACTGTGGACTAACTTGTCTCCATTCAATTCTGCAAGCTCTTTCCTCCAGACAGAGAGGATGAGACCTCCCTTGTTCTGCTCAAGACAGCGTCCCACCCATGCCCTGGAGTCCATCTTCCTCACCTCTCCCTGGAGCTTGCTCCATCATTCTCCCCACACCCATATTTTCAGTTGCTCTTTCCTTACTAGTGCCCTGTTCTAGCCTATAAATAGCTCCTTTCATTACAATAAAAATAAAATTATCTGGGGGCACCTGGGTGGCTCAGTTGGTTGCGTGTCTGATTCTTGATTTCATTTCAGGTCATGATCTCAGGATCGTGGGATAGAGCCTTGCATCGGGCTCGGCACTCAGCAGGGAGTCTGCTTGAGATTTTCTCTCTCCCTCTGCCTCTCCCCACCACTTGCATTCTCTTTTTCTCTCTCTAGAAGAAGTAAATAAATCTTTAAAATAAAATAATTTTAACTCTGTGTTTCTTCCTGCTACTGCCTCTCTTTATTGGCAAAACTCCGTAAAAGGATAATCTATACTTACTGTCTCTACTTCACCTCCTATTTATTCTCTAATTCACCACTGTTTGGTTTCTACCTACTCCATACAGTTAAAAAACTGTTCTCTCTAGTACATTGGCTCACTCCTATTTCTTGAAATTCTCACTCTTTTGCCTTCCATGGCACCACACTTTTATGTCCTCGTGATTCCTCTCTGATAGTTCTTTTCTGCCATTTTTGTAGGTTTCTTTTCTTCCATTGCCCCTTATTTTTTTCGCTTCTCCAGGGAGTTGCAGTCCTCAGCCTTTCCATTTCTTACTATGTATAGTCTCCTTAAGTGACTTCACTTTATGTAAGGAATGATGGCTCCCATAACTGAGTTTCTAATTCATGCCTTTCGCCCATGTTTCAGACTTATCCAGCTGCCTACTGGACCTCTTCATATATGTATATCATCTCAAAATAACATGCCCCAAACTGAAGTCAGTCTTTATCCCTAAACCTGTGGTCTCTTGTCACTGGCTTCTTTCACTTAATATAATGCCCTCAAGTTTCATCCATCTTGTAGCATATTTCAGGATTTACTTCCTTTTAAAGACTAAATAATATTCCATTGTATGTATATACCACATTTTGTTTATCCATTCATTAGATGATGGACACTTGAGTTGTTTCCTCTTTTTGGCTATTATGCTCCGAAGAACATTCATGTACCAGTTTTTGTGTGGACATATATTTTCATCTGCCTTGGGTATATATCTAAGAGTGGAATCTCTGGGTAATATGGTAATTATGTTTCACATTTTGAGGAACTGCCAGACTGTTTTCCAAAGTGGCTCCATTGTTTTGTATCCCTCGAGTAATGTGTGATGGCTCCAGTTTCTCCACATTCCTGCTAACATTTCTTATCCTTTTTTGGATCATAACCATCCTAGTGAGTGTCTGTTAGTATCTCACTATGGTTTGACTTTCATATCACTAGTGGTTAATGATGTTGAGCCTCTTTTTGTGTGCTAATTGACCATTTGCATATCTTTTTTGGGGAAAATGTCTATATGACCATCCTTTGCCCATTTTTTTAAAATTGGGTTCTTTGTCTTTTCACTTTTGAGTTGTAAGAGTCCTTTATATATTCTAAATACAAATCTCCTATCAGATCTATTATTTGAGAAAATTTTCTCCCATTCTATGGTTGTTTGTTGTTGCTGTTGTTCATTTTCTTAATGGTGTCCTTTGAAGCACAGATGTTTTTAATTTCCAGTAAGTCCCATTTACTATTCTACGTGTGTGTCACTTTTGCTTTTGGTGTCGTATCCAAGATAGCTTTTACCAAACCCAAGGTCATGAAAATTTATGTCTGTATTTTCTTCTAAGAGTTTTACAGTTTGGGCTCTTACATTTAGAGGACAAATAGGAGTGTCTCAATGACAGCAGTCAATTAAAACGATTGTGCTTTACATCTTTTGTGGAAGGAGAGAACCTACTTCAAATTCCTCCTGGGTAAGAAATATTTAAACAGAGTTGATCACCAAGCGGGGGGATTATGGATTATTTTCATATTCTTTCCATACTTGCCAGGACTTTAAAAGTGTTTAGAGAGAACAAGTATTGATGATCAGAAAAAAAAGTTCCAACATTGTTTTACAGACTCCTTACTGGCTTGATGCATACAGGTCTGAGGCTGTAACTATGAGGGTATTTCAGTTATCCTGTGGATGTTGAACCTATAAGGAGCCCAAGAAAGATCTGTGGCCCTCTAATGCTTGCAGCAGAGGCTACCCAGAAGAAACCAGAAACAAAGCCTTTCATGAGGAAGCCAGCGGGCCTTGCTTCTCTTTCACTTTTCGTATCTTATTGTACCTTTTATCTGCATATATATTAGGTTCACTAAACTGTAAAAATGTATGGCAGGAATTATACTTAGCAAAACTTCCTACACCTAATCATTAACACCAGGCCCTACTTGCCTTGCTTCTTAAGCAACTTTGAAAAAACTCACAGCTGCCTCAAGGTTAGCTCGAGGGCAAAAGCATCTCTTTTTTACATCTTTTGAGCACAGTTCAGCTTAGTCCAGGGAAATGGAAAAACTGGTCTAGCAGAATTATTTTCCTTTGTCAGCTCTGTAAATTCAACTGAAAAGTTGAAAATCAGTATCTTCCCCACTGTCTGTGGTGCCAGAATCTTATATTCTCCTGCTAAATGTAAGTCATGGTAGTGAGGTTAAAATAAAAATATGTGTGCTGGGGTAAGACAAATGTGGGTTGGGGGCTCAACTTTTCCACTTGCTAGCAAGACATACTTGGACCAGATATTTTACCTCCTAAGCCTTAGCTTCCCTTTCTGAAAAGGGAATAATCGTGCTTACACACAAGATTTTATAAAGATAACCATAGTGAATACTTAGAAAATGACAGCCATTTTTCTTGAGATTTTAGTTTTAAGTAATCTCTACAGCCTAAGTGGGGCTCCAACTCAAAACCCCAAGATCGAGAGTCCCATGCTTCTCCCACTGAGCCAGCCTGGAGCCCCAAGAAGATGGTAACCATTTTAATTAATAATAACCAAAAGTAATCTGCATTGACTGACAAAAAGAAAAAAAGAAGTGTCTCTATACTTAATAAAAGAAAACAACTGTCCATTGGATTCAGTTAAGAACATGAATTATGTTGACTGTTTAGGCTAGTCTGTACACTTGACGAATAGAAATGAAGATAAATTGAAGCTCTGATACTACACCTTATTTGTCTAGTCCCCAAATAAATTGCTCATTCAGGTCCATGTCACCCCTGAGACTTGTTGCATACTCAGCAATCTTTTAGGGTTTGTGGTCACTCAGATAAAAGTGGAACTATTAATAGCACCAAGTTCTTATGGAAGATTAGCAATCTAAGAAGTGAAGATCTATGTCTAGAGTCTTTCCTGACTTTATATGCAAGAAAGCCTAGAAAGGGCACATAGAAATGAAAACTCTATTAAAGAAGAGTCTTGGGCAGGTCTTTTAATTTTGGGGGGGTGCTGAAATTCTTCATCCCTTATATGGGAGATTTGAACTAGATAATCTCTAAAATTTCTGCTTTTCTAAATCTCTATGATTTGTGTCTAGATTTTGTCTTTTTTGAAAAACATTAATTGTAGACCAGATGCAATAGAAAATGGTAAGTTGAGGAAGAGTTTAGAGTTCAGAGTTCAATCTGTTTAGAGTCCAACAGACCTTGTTGAAATTCTCAAGTCTCTCAAGTTTGATAATAGCAAACTTGCAGGGTTATTAGAATTAGTGATAATGTATTGTTAATAAACAAAATTCAACTGAGTACATTTGAAGATCTAATAAATAAACGATTCATGAATCAGGCAGCATCTCATCTAGCAGGCAGAGAGATGCTCCCAGAAGCTGTACCCAATGGGAGGATTTATAGACAGGAGGGTGGAGCAAGGAAGTTATAGACAAATCAGTAAGTAAGAATGGTTTCAGGTCAGGTCAAGTTCCTTGTGGGAAGAAGAGATGGGCGGGGTTTTTAATCATGATGATTATGTCACTAATGCTGATCAGGAAATTTCAGATTGACTGTTAAAAGGTCACATTCTTAGGAGAGGTTATAACTGTAATTAAGTCTTGGTTTGCTGTCACGGTTGGGGGCAAATGACTCCATTTGGGGCTTGTGTTTTTTTTCTTTTTTAACAATATAAAAAAAGCACTTGGCACTTGTAGATATTCAAGTGCAAGAAAAAATTACTATTATAATTGGGACTAGGACTAATTAATACATCTGATTAATCATTAAGAAAATATCACATATTAGCAGCAGTATACAAACCAAGGTAACTGCCAAAACTATTATGATTAAAAACATCTGTTTATGGAAATTTTAACATAAGATTCTTCTAACGAGTATCATATTAGAAGCTTTAAAATATACCACAATTCACATCACATGTCCTCCTAGAATATAAGTACCCATAATAAATATGTGATGCAAAATTAACCCACCTTGAGGGTGTTAACCATGCATTGGTATTACAAAAGGGCTCAAATGCATAATTAAATCAAACATTTAAAAACTGTAGATAGTAAGACATTAAATTGTGCGTTGAAAAAAATTTTTTTAAAGATTTTATTTATTTATTTGAGAGAGAGAAAGCACAAGCAGGGGGAGCATCAGGCAGAGGGAGAGGGAGAAGCAGGCTCCCCGTGGTGCAGGGAGCCCGATGCAGGCTCCTTAGGACCCCGGGATCATGACCTGAGCTGAAGGCAGACGCTTGACCAACTGAGCCATCCAGGGGCCCCGTGCTTTGAAAATCTTAACTCAGTTGAATTCTAAAGCAGGTTGAAAATTTTGTGAATCTTTATCAAGCTGAAGAAAACCTGGAACAATTCCTCTTTCTGCCTAGAGATGATCTTACTTTAAGAACCAAATACCAGGATTCCATCAACGTGAGAAGACATAGATGGCAAGGTAGGAGGTTGACAAATAGGTGGAATGATAGGAGTACTTGAACTTGCAAACCACGGAGAAAGTATATCAGATCTGATCATTTCTAAAATCTAGGAGAGGAGTAGCACGAATGGAATCTTTGCTTTACAAACGTGGAGACACATGTATCCTATTTGTTTCTTCATGGATCTTTTTCATCAGTGAATGCAGATTGAGGGGTAGGGAATAGGGAGGCTAGGCTAGTTTTTCGAACTATAATATAGTTGAAAAATGTTTCTCTGATAGGCCCATCCTAGTGATAGCAGTGTCTATGACATTTAAAATTTTTACTTTCAATGCTTAAAATTTTTTAAATGTAATTTATAACTTAAAAAAATCTAAACAATGCAAAAGGAAGATAATGAAAATCTCTTGTAATTTTACATTGTAGAGTTAACAACTGCTAATAGTTTGGTGAAAGATTTCCAGATTGTTCCCATTCTGGACTATTATAAGATGATGCCAACAAAGAACATCTTATTGTATAAATCATTGTGCAAATTTTAAGTACTTCTGGCTAGAAATAAACTTGCTGGGTCAGAGAATATGCATCAAAAGTTAGCTAATATTATGTCCACCAATAGTTTGAGAAAGAGCTTAACGTATTTTTGATATCTTACACTGTTAGCAATCATCAGGCTGGCTCTGTCAGTGGAGCATGCAACTCTTGATCTCAGGGTTGTGAATTTGAGCCCTATGTTGGGTGTGGAGATTACTTAAAAATAAAATGTTAAAAAAACAATAGTCATGGGGGCACCTGGGTGGCTCAGTCAGTTAAGCGTCTGCCTTCGGCTTAGGTAGGTCATGGTCTCAGGGTCCTGAAATTGAGCCCTGTGTCGGGCTTCCTGCTCAGTGGAGAATCTGCTTCTCCCTCTCCTTCTCCCACTGCCTCCCCCCACACTCATGCTTGCTCTGTCTCTCTCTGTCTCTCAAATAAAAAAAAAAAAAGTCAAGACCTGACTTTCCATCCTTTTCCAAGAGATAATTTTAAGTAGATCCTGAAGAGAAATCTGAAGTATCATTAGTATTGAATGAAAATGTGTATTTTTTTTCCACAATAATCTTAATTTACTGCTTTTCTCTCTTTGTGACCCATCCCTGCCTTTTCTATAGATGTCTAGCTTCACCCGAATGTTGGCTTTAGAAGATTTTATTCTGCTGGCCAGTGGAACAGAGTCAGTAGAAAATGACACTTTCAAAACTCTGAGTACCTTGAAGACCTTGGAACTCTGGAAAAATAAGTTAAGACAGGTCCCCAGGATTCTCCCAGCCAGTCTTGAAGTGTTAAAACTAAATGACAATTCAATATATGTCCTACGCGGATCCGATTTTGAAGGACTGAAGAAATTAAAAATCCTTGAACTTAAAAACAATCTGATCTCTTCTCTGTCTCCCAGCACACTCTCCTCTCTTGTCAGTTTACAGAGTTTGTTGTTAGATGACAACAATATTGAATCCGTAGCTGGACCGCTGGCCCTTCCCCACCTGAAACGCCTGAGCATGGAGAATAACAGACTCCATCTTATACCCGCTAGTTTCTTCACTTCTCTCCAGTCTTTGCAATTTCTCAGCTTCAGTGGTAACTTTCTGACTAAAATTCCTATTAATCTGCCCAAATCTCTGCTCTCTTTAAAAATGGAGAGAAACCAGCTCAAAGTGGTAAGGTTTCAAGATCTGAAACACTTGGAGCATCTCTCCCATCTTTATCTGTCAGAAAACTCACTCTCCTCCATCGATGGGGCGCAGATACTTGCCAATTTAACTACTCTTGAGTTGTCCCAAAACCAGGTTCAAATGTTGCCCCTCAGACTCCCAGCAAGGCTACAAAAACTCGACATTAGCAATAACCTGATTCAGAGAGTTACAGCACAAGATTTCCACGACCTCCGAGACTTGAAACACTTGTTCCTGGACAACAACATCGTTAGCTTGTTCGAAGCCGGAGCCCTGCAGATGTGTTCCCAGCTCTCCAACCTGGCCTTGGAGCAGAACCTGCTGTTGTCTATACCTCTAAGGTGAGGGGGAGTTATTATTTATGGTGACTACTTTAAACGTTTTCTGAAGATCAGGGCAATGAAGCCCATTAGACGAGCAAGAAAAAATAGAGCAAACATAAATGATCTGATCAAGGCTGTCCTAGGACTCAAGTGTAGAGATTGTAGACAGGGTTTTGGAATCTCCAGTCCTCTAACTAAATCCTGCACTAACTTAATTTATCTTGCCTGTCAGATAAGACACCAACAGGTGAGATCTATGCTTGAAAATAGGCAATGCCACTTTGGTGAAGAATGCTAACACACATAATATGGGGATCTTTCTTGTAAAAGTGTGTTTTGGTTTTTAAGCATGTAGCCTGGGACCCAGCAACAGGCAGACTTAGGTACATGCTTAGCCACTAGCAAAACAAGGATACGAAAAAGAAATAAAGGGGAAATGTAGTTAGATGTTTATATTTTTAAAAGCATTGAAATAGTAGTTATGACAAAAATCACAAGTGTATAACCTGATCTTGTATTTATTTTGAATTATGTATTTGGAGGCTTCGTATGCTTCTCAGCACTGCAATCTTTAAAGGACTTAAACACAGCTCTGCTTATTTCTCTGTGTGTCTGCCTGTGGGTATGTGAGTCCATCTGGGTTGGTCTCATCTGGTGTTTTTGGCTGTCTCTCTCATAAACACATGCACATGCACATGCACACGGACACAAACACACACCCTCATACTCTGACATTTAATTTCTCTTTCCAAATATCCCTCCCTCTGTGCTCAACCCACTGTCCTGTTTCCTCACCCAGTCATAATTGGTAACTAATGTACATGTTAACATTAACTGATCCTTTTTTAGGTAAACCTTATTCCATGTTCTACATGTATGAAGTAAATTAAAAAAACGGTAGAAGAATAAAGCCCTTTTATTCTCTTAGAAAATGTTAATTATATATGCCTATCAGTGGATTCATTTTCCTTTTGGTGCTTTATGGGACAAAGATGGCACTTTGCTCTGTTGATTATCATTATCAAATTGCTCGTAATTAACATATCAACTTCTGGCTTCTGTAGAATCCTATGGCACTCGATTTACTTATTTTCATTTTGTTATCAATGAGAAAGGGAAAAATTATCTTTGATATGTACAAATGTTCATTTTTTCTAGTTAAAAAAAGATATTTTATTATACAGTATGGTATACCCAATGCAAAACACCAGAAAGTGATTTTTATAATGGAAATCAGTATTTTAAAAGATATATTGAGGGTTATTTGAAATTAATCAATTTTTTAATACATAAGCATGTGCATTTTACATTGTAGAGTTAACAACTTCTTTACCAGGCACTTGGGATACATCAGTGCAATAAAAAATAAAACTTCTTGTTCTATACAGCTTAAATTCCAACAGGGAAATGGTAATAATAAACAGAATGTGTAAGTATTTAACATCGAGATGGTGTTAGGTGTTATAGTTAGCAACAACAAAAAAGGGCAGGATTACCAGGAGAGTCAGGGTGGCTGGTTGCAATTTTAGATAGGGTAAACATGGTAATTCTCATGAAAATGTAAGCTTTGAGCAAAAACTGGAAGGAGGTGAGAGATTTAGCTGTGAAGCTGTTTGGTGGTGTGGGGAGTGTTCTAGACAGAACAGCCAATACAAAAGCCTTAAGGCAAAAAACACGCCTTCAGTGTTTCAAGACTGTAATACTTGTTATTTCAGTAATTTCTCTACTATGTTTCAAGTCTTATTTTCTATCACTATATACCCCTACTCCAAGAAAAAAAATCGTGTATAGAATAAAAACTCATAAAACAGGTTGGGGAGTGACTGTTATCATCAAGGGTTCTCAATAGGCTGCGAGAACCTTGGCAAAACTGGGAACGCAGTGGACTTCTCTATTCAGGTGGCTTTTAGAAAGCATTTGGTTGAGTAATCCTGCTAAGTTTAATGAGTGAAAAGTAGCTTAATTATTTACTCCTGCCAGGGCATTTGTGTGCTTTAATAAGTGACTACAGAAAGCACAATGCTTTTGCCAAATGGAGTGTATAATAGGATTGCAAGCCTGAGCTAGCCATAATTCTCAAATCTGACTCCACATTGCAATTATCTGGAGAAATTTGGAAAAAGCATACTTATGCCCAGACCTCTCTTCAAAGCAGTTAAACGGACACTCCAGGATTTGTGCCCAGGCATCAGTATTTGTAAAAAGCTCCCCAGATGAATTTAATGTGCAGCCGAGGTGGAGAAGTAATGGGCAAGAACAACGAGCAAGGGACATGAGATGAGAGTGGCCTTTTCCTATGAGGCTTAAATTAAGCAGCACAACTGTCTGTTCTGTCAAAGAACTTGGCCAGCCATGAGAGCAATGTGTTCCTTGGAGAAAGTGATTTTTAAATTCCTCATCAAATCCCCCTCCCACTTCCAGCTTTTCTCTGAATTGGAAACTGGGAATGGTCCAGAAAAGTTTTTCTGTGATTTTCCTCCCATAAAGCATTAAAACGCAATACTGTTTTTTATTTTTAATTGTTAAGACTTTAATTTATGAGCTCAAAACAGTACACTTTTATTTGCATGGGTCTTATTCATACACAAAATTGTACTTCAAAATTCCGTTTCCTATTAATAAACTATAAACACAGGCAACCTATCCCTTGCCAATTGCTAACCTAACCTAACTTGTTGCTAGTTGCTGTGTATCCTACCACAAATCACAAATCCCTTCTTTTGCCTACCATTCTCCGTTCTACATTTCACCAAGGAAATAATAGTAGATGGTTTTAGGTACACCTATATTCAAATATCTACTACATCTGCCTCAATGTACTAACGGAGATAGAAAATAATACCTAGTATTAAGTATTGACTTAATTAAGTACTGACTTCACCCAGCAGTGAATTTATATTCATGTGTTATTCCTCATTACTTCTTCCAACAATCCTATGAATGTAGGCACATTTTTTAACTATTATTTTATGCATTAGAACATTAAGGTATCAAGGAGGTATCAAGAAACTTCTTAAAATCAGATCATTAGTAAGTGGGGGAGTCAGAATTAAACACAGTAGTCTAACTGCAGAGCCAGGGAATTTTAGCCACCACATGATCACCTGCCCCTGAGATGTACTCTGCTATAAACAATACGCTAGACGACTTAAAAGCTTAGAACACCCAAGACCGGGGTCTCACTTTTGCTGTTTCATTCTTATTTCACCAATCTGCAGTTCAGTGAACAACTGTAAGTTACATCATCTTTTCTTTATCCACAATTTGGATAATTCAAATCCAGAATAGCTTTCTACAACCTAACGCAGGCATAGCATTTTATCTTACTTATACTCAGGTGCCATCTACTGGTAACAATGGGTGTGCCCCTTTTTACTCTAAAAAGCCGCAGACCCAAAGAACAAATAGCATTTTTAGAAGCAGGTTTGTCTTAAAATCAGGGATACCTTTCTCTATAAATCAGACTTATAAAGACAAATTATATCAAAGCCATAAATGACTGCCTTAAGTTCACAAAACCGGGATATTGGTGATTTCCCTTACAATGTCATTTTGGTTATAACGCCCATCGAAACATGAAAGAAAAAAAAAGGAAGAAATTTGTACCCACAAATTTTGGCTCCGCAGCCTAGAACCGATCATTGTATTTGCTTAAAAGGAAACTTGGCTTTCTCATTTTCATTAGCTAACATTTATTATGTGATTTCTGTGTACTGGGCATTTTCAACTATAAAGTGGAAAATCAGAAGCTTTAAGCTAAATAACTTACCTGAAGTCACGTACTAGAAAATAGAATGGCCAAAGTAAGAACTCAAGTCTTAATTAGTAGACTTGACTCTCTGGTTCACTTTATCATATCTTTCCTCAGTTGTTCTCCCTTGTACTTGCAAGGGTAATAGACTCTTGCTTCCTGCCATACCATCTGTAAATCGTCCATCTTTCCTTGCAAAACAAAACAACAACAAAAAAAACCAAATGCTATACATAAGATTTTTCTGTATAAGTTTTAAGAATGTACCTTATATCAGTTGGTATGTGCACAAAATTACATTGTCTTGGGGACAATTTAACTATCAAGTTGTTAAAATGTATGAAGTGATTTGCCCTGGTAAATTAATCTACATTTTAAGGTAAATTTTATTGCAACTAAGGAGAAGTCACTTTAAGTAAATAAGACTATAAAATACTCAAAAGCACAAATACTTATATATGTATATGCACTGTATAGCTTAGGATACAAATATAAAGTACATAATCATCAGATGACTGGGACCACAACAATAAATTTTTACTGACTACTAAAAGGCATGAATGTACATTCAGTGCATTCACACTCTATGAAAATAGCATCTGAATGGTATTTCAAGGGCCTTTTTTTCCCCTATAAAACTTTCCCCCTTCTTATACTTCACAAACAGAATAGCACTTAATATGGAGCTGTTGAGTAGCAGAAAAATTTTCAGGTTCACAATTGTGATTCTTTTTTACTTTTTATCAATAGGCATTAGCATGATATTTTCCAAATTGGTATCCACAGTTAAAAAAAGTTTTTTCCTGATTATAAAGCAATACCCATTCCAGGCTGAAAACTTAGTGTGCTGAAAAATGAAAAATCATCCATAATTGCTCAACTAGAACCCATGTCTAGACATAATTTTTTTATGTACTTGTGATCATTCAATTTTGTTTTTTATGTTTTCTATTTAACATTATAGAGGATTTTTCTTTCCCTTTTCCACTTTTTCCAAGTATTACAATGGACCCTAGGGATCTTAATTTATTCGGTGTGTTACGATCATTTGAAGTTGCTAGTCTCTTTTGATTCCCAAATTGTTCCAGATTCGTCTAGTGAGAGCCTCTCCAAGCTGGTCCCTGTGTTCACGAGACATGATTCCATTAGTTCTCTTTTTTAAAAATTGTGGTAAAATACACATAAGATTTACTTAACCATTTTTAACTGTACAATGCAGTATTGTTAAGTACCTTCATAGTGTTGTGCAATTGCTCTCTGGGACTTTTCATTTTGCAAAACTGAAACTCCATACTCATTAAACAACTTCCCATTTCCTCCTCCCCCAGCCCCTGACAACCACCATTATACTTTCTGTTTCTATGAATTTGACTATTCTAGATATGTCATATAAGTGGAATTATAGTAGTTGTCTTTTTTGTGACAGGCTTTTCTCACTAGCATAAGGTCCTCAAGGTTTATCCATGTTGTAGCACGTACCAGTATTTCCTTCCGTTTTAAGGCTAAGTATTCCATTGTGTGTACCTACTGGACCTTGCTTACCCATTCATCTGTCAGTGGACGCTCGGATTGCTTCCACATCTTAGCTATTGTGAATTCAATATGGGTGTACAACATGTAAATAATGTATAATATTATTTAATATGTAAATACCTCTTTGAGACCAATCATGCTTTCAATTCTTCTGTGTATATACCCAGAAATGGAATTGCTGGATCATGTGGTAATTCTATTTTTAATTTTTTGAGGAAGCACCTCATACCGGTTTCCATAGCGCCTGGACCATTTTACATTCCCACCAACAGCACACAAAGCTTCTAATTTCTCCACATCCTCATCAACACTTATTATTTTCTGGATTTTTGATAACAGCCATCCTGGTGGATGTCCCATTAATCTTTGAACATGCTATTGCATTCTGACTCAGATGTTCTAGCTTACCTTGCCCCACCTATGGAATCAGTCATTTCTCTAAGAAGCCTTGCTGCTTTAAGTGGAAACTGGAATTCCGAAATTAAGATCTGGGTGCTCAGTGAGCTTAGGCTATTGGAGAAGCATTGCCATTAGGGTGTAATATTACTTCTAGATTCTTCTAGAAGTATGCACAACTAGAAAAAATATTTTTTTAAGTGATGAATTTACATTATCTCCAGTTCATATTTAACATTAGACGGTTTTTCTTATTTTATATTTGTATCTTTTCTTTTACAGTGAAATCTTGGTTCTTAATATATGAATATATTTACTTATTTGTTTTGTCTTAGAGTATTCATTAAAAAGGTTTCAAATATTATTTCTAACAGCAGTATGAGTAATAAACGTGGTGAGAGAAATTTCCTTGCAGATTCTTTTGTCCTTAGTCTCTAAGGCTTAGACATATCCATTAAGGATATTCAGTCAGAGTACTTTTTCTTTCCTTTATTTGGTTATATACCAACATTACCATTTGATTAATTAATTAAACATGTTTGTTTCTGTTTGTGTTCAATTTTAGGGCTTGATTCTGTTTTACTTTATTTGTTTTGTGAACATGTAAACCATTAACATGATTCAAAAGTTAAAACCATATGCACACACTTCCTATAAGTAACCATTTTTATTCACCTCTGGGTTATCATTCTTCTTTTTACCCAGCATAAGCAAATATATGCACATATATGCACCATTTCCCTCTTACACAAAAAACTGACATACTATACATATTATTCCACTTCTTGCTTTTTTCCCTTAACAATACTTTCTGGAAATCATTTTATGATAATTCTTAGAGACGAACCCCTTTCTTTTTTAAGACTGCATAGTAGTTTTTTACTGTTATACTAGGTTGTTTCCAATCTTTTGCTATTATAAATAAGACCATAATAAATGCACGTATGCTGTTTTACATTTGTTGAGTCATATCTTCAGAGTATATTCCTAGAAGTGAGATGGCTGGGTGGAAGGGTAAATGCACAAGTTATTTCATTAGACTTTGCTAAGTTCTCCATAGGGGCTAGGCAATTTTAGTGTCCCACCAAGTGATGTGTGAGAATGTCTGTTTCTTCACAGCTTTGCCCACAGAATATAATCCTTAATGCTAAGGATTAAGTTGTTTTTGTTTTTGTTTTTTTTTTTTTTACCAATCTGGTAGGTGAGAAATGGCATCTCTGTGTGGTTTTATTTTTCATTTCTCTATTCTGAGTATGGTTGAAGATTTAAGGGCTTTGCTTTCCTGTTTATGTGGACTTCCATTCATGCCTTTTGCCCATTTTTCAGTCTCATTTTAAAACCTTTTCTTCTTACCTTTTAAGAGTCATTTACGTATTAGGGATATTAGCTCTTTGGGTTATAAGGTGCAGATATTTTCCCCAGTTTATCATTTATCTTTTGACTTTGCCTATGTCTTTTGCCATACACCATTCCTTTTTTTATTATTATTTTTAATGTAGTTGATTCACTGATCTTTTATAGCTTCTGCATTTTTTTTAAAGATTTTATTTATTTATTTGACAGAGAGAGAGACAGCGAGAGCAGGAACACAAGCAGGGGGAGTGGGAGAGGGAGAAGCAGGCTTCCTCCTGAGCAGGGAGCCTGATGCGGGGCTCGATCCCAGGACCATGGGATCATGACCTGAGCCGAAGGCAGACGCTTAACGACTGAGCTACCCAGGCGCCCCAAGAACCACACTTTTTCATGTTTTTATTCCATACTCTTACTTCTCCTATAAATTATGGACTCATGGCCTTTTCCAAGTAAAAATTGGCAACTTTTTTCTTATTGATTTGTTTACATGATCCTGTTTGACAAGACAAGAAATGAGAGAGTCTTATGGCTAGGAACCAGAAGACTCAGAGGGTTAGAAGACAAGACCTCTGAGAAAGGTTAAAGACCCACACATAAGACTTAATTTTTCAAAACGGAGCTTGTTTTCTAGCTTCTACCAGGACACGATGGTACAGAAAGGCTGGTGTTGCTCATTCTGAGTTGCGTTGGTAGATATGGAATGGTGGTCATGGCTTCCTCTCCCATCCTGTTTCCATGCTTTTGCAGGCTTCCAGGGACCTTAGCCAGGCTGGACCTAAAAGGCAATGCCATCCAGAATATTGCTGAGATGGAACTCAAGGATCTAAAGCAGCTTCAGGTTCTAAACCTTAGGAACAACAAGATTTCTGCTTTAGACCTCAAAGTCTTGGAGGGGTTGCCTCGCCTCAGACACCTGTATCTGGATGGAAATCCGTGGAATTGCACCTGCAGTCTCGTAAGAGCGAGGGAGATCCTGAAGGCCAAGGGCACGGATGTGAGGGGAGGACAATGTGCTGCACCAGCTGAACGACAAGGGGAGAGCTGGATGTCCTCCAAGAAGATCATGAGACAATGTGAGCATCACTTACATCTGACCGAGAAAAACAAAGAGACCAAAAAGAAATCAAAACTGGAAGAACACTCCAGAATCAACATGGATGATGATTATTATGATTATGAAATAGATTAAGTATGAGCTTTGTTTACAGTTTAGAAAAGGTTTTTTTTTAAAATAGACTTCATTTTAGAGCAGTTTTAGGTTCATAGCAAAATTGAGAGCAAGATATAGAGATTTCCCATTACCTCCTACTTCCACACATGCATGACCTCCCCGATTGCTACATCCCCCTTCAGAGTGGGACATTTATTACAATTGAAGAACCTGCATTGACACATCATCATCACCTAAAGTCCATGGTTTACACTAGGGTTCACTCTTGGTGCTGTACATTCTGGGGATTTGGACAAATGTTTGATGACATGTATCTATCATTATAGTATCACACAGAGTAGTTTCACTGCTTTAAAAATGCTCTGTGCTCCAGAAAAAGTTTTATAGTGTTCAGTCTCTTAAGCAGAAATATTCAATAAATTTAGATATGCAAGAATCTTTTTTGTAAGTTTTTTTTTTTTTTTTAAGAATGAAATGAGAGTTAAGATAAGTTGAGGTGGGGGAGGAAAGGGGAAAGGGACAGTGGTAAAAAGATATGAGATTCCTTCCACTTAAAAAGTAATTTGTGTTTTATACTGAAATCTACACAAATAAAGATGCCAAATAAAATTGCCATCTGGTTAACTTCCTGCAAATAGAGTAGTTCATTTTATCACATAAAGTGATGACCCTTGCGAATGAAGCTGGTGACTGCAGGCCTACACTACAGGCTTTTGACTAAGCAAGAGAAACAGATTACAGCTTAAGTAAGAAAGAAAGTATTGGAAAGATTGGGAATAGCTCACAGAATCAAAGGAAAAGCTGAAGAATCTGGAAAGAACAGGGATCAGAACTGCTCCAGGGCCCTAGGCAGAAGGACATAATGGAGAGGCCCTCAGCTTCTTCAAGTTTCTCTGTGCAGAATAAAGAGCCCCTGCTGTTATCAGTGTTATCTTCTCCACATTTATATCCTCAGAAGCAGAGGCCAGTTGGCCTAAGTCGGGTCATATGTTCACCCTTGGCTAAGGGACAGTAGGTCTTGTTTGACAGTCTGACCAAGACCAAGGGGAAACCAAAAAGGAAGTGTAAACTGGCACCTTATATACTGTGGATGTCCCTACAACGTACTTCCTGAAAAGAGTTGTATTCTGAGTTCCATTTGGGGTTCTTTGAGCGGACCACAATCCCCACACTCCCTCCCTTTTGATGAACTGCATGCTTTTGAGAGTTGCCTGCCTGGGGATAGAGGTGTGACTGTAGAATGATTTTTTTTCTATCAATCTACTTATAAATATCATCTACTAGCATATAAATCTGAAACCCCATCTAAATTGGCTCCTTTTCTAATTAGTAAGACTTATCTGCTGCAGTATTTATTTTAGAAAGTTTTCCATCAAAATGCTCCTAAAGGCAAAGAAAGTAAATAATAGAAATTGAGCAGATGAGTTAATATGCCCACCAGAAGCTTGAACTTTCTCTCCAGGGTCATGTTTTCAAATTTTATGCAGAATTTGTATGACTTGTTTTATATCCACATTTCTTCTCCCAAAATCTTTATGAAATGGACATCCCTTGGAAAAGAGCCCGATTTTTACTGTGGCTGCTAGCACTCCTTGGCACACTGACAGGTATCTCAACTATATAAAGCATGGAAGTACAGAAATAAGGGAACTCGTACATGATTTTTCTTGTTATTGTGTGGGTTTCAACTCGTAATGTGTCAGACCTACCATTCTAAGAAAAACCAATGATTGGTGCTATGTAATAATTTATACCCACTGCCATTTTCTGGGTATTAATAGTCAGGATTCCCAAGCTATGAGGGCCTTGAGGAAGAATCGTTTTACAGATGTGAGAACGCTGTCTCAGAGGGGTGAAGTCACGGTCGGGTTCATACACATAGAAAGTGACAGAAGTAGTACTTGACTGCATCTGGATTTTTTAACTTCTGTCCAGTACTCCTACTATAGCATTTGCTGTAAGATTCACTTAGGACACTCTACTCACAAACAATGTCCAGAATAATAAAATGTTCCATAAAATATGTGAATTCATCTGCTTTGGCAGCCATAACAAAATACCACAGGCTGGTATTTTCTCACAGTTCTAGAGGCTAGAAAGCAGAAGAAGTGAGAGAGATCTATGGTGTCTTTTCTTCTTATGAGGATACTGGTCCTATTGGATTAGGGCCCCACCCTTATGACATCATTTAATGTTAATTACCTCCCTAAAAGTCTTATCTCCAAATACAATCACATAGGGGGTTAGGGCTTAACGTAAGAAATTTGGGGAACACAATTTAGTCCATAACGGTATGTGTGTGTGTATGTATGTATGTATCTACATACATATTTACACTATCTATCTTAGTTTTGGGCTCTTGGTTAAGTTTATTGATAAACTTACCAAAAAAAAAAGAGAAAAAGAAATAAGAAAAAGGTAAAGGCTGGGGAGGACAAGGTAGAAAAGGATAAAGAAACTTTAAGGCCCGGTGTTCACACATTTATACTTATGTAGAGATTTTTAAAAAATCAGGTATTTAGCTACTAATCTGAGAAGGCAGCTAGAGGGCAATATTGAGCTATAGGGCAGGTGAAACTTAGAAGGTAAGCGTGAAGTATAGACTATGAGGTCATGCTTCGCAATCCCAGAAGGCAGGTGTAGGTTGAGTGTCATTGGAGTTGGAGAAGGGGCCGTCATCTTGGGCACAAGGGTCCATTTAATGCCTGCAAAAAGGGATTACTTGGTGGTAAATAAGGAAAAGGGGAGATAAACTTCCCGAGGCTAGTTTTTCCTATGTTACCTTTTAGTGCCAGTATTTCCTCATCTGTAAAGTGGGGACTGTAGTACTAGCTCCCTGCATTAATTCTTTTGCATTAAACCCATATGGAAGAAAAACATTTTCTTAATTGCCCCCATAATTTGCAAATCTTCCTCTCTCTCCAAATGGAGACATTCATTGTTCTATACCCCAGATGCCAATCACAGAGTGGCATATGTAAATGACGCCTCCTGGGATTACACAGTGGATAGCATGTGTCCCTTCTGAAAGCATTTTTATTCTCTCACCGCTTTCCCTCTCCCATTTCAAAGCATGCCTGCTTAGACCTGCCAAAAGTCAGAACTGAACCACTGCCTGGTCATAACCCTCCCCATGGCTGCTCCCTTGGTAATACAAATCCTGGTTGAAGCCTTTAAATTGCCCCCAAGGTCTTAGATAAAAGACTAGTCTTGCACTCAGCCTTGGGGAGGGGAGTGAGAATAACCAAAATTAATGAGTAACTGCAGTGAATGATCTGAATAGAAGGCACAGATGCTCCTTTTTGGCACACACACAGGGTCATACACGGAAGTACTACTTTTATCAGAGCTGATAGTCTCATTCAGGAGCATTCTTAGTTTCTACTTGGAAATGCTTAGAATGTATAAACTCTAAAGAGTTTTTCCTCACAGACTTTATAACTTTCTGTTTTGCAATATATGCAATAGCAGCTACTCTGGACTTGCCTTCTTTAGATGTGTAGGCTTTCTGCTAATGCCTTTGCAAAGGGGCTCACAAGTCTTCTCAAATTCTCTACTTTGTCACATTTCTGAATCTCCTCCCTGACTTCATGGTTCATGGATGTCCTGGTTTTAGATGAAAAAGGTGTCTCTAAGGCCAATGCTCAGAGAATTCTCCTCTCTCTAAAGAGGTCCTTTAAAAAAAAAAAAAAGGCTTTTTTTTTTTTCTCTAGTTGTTCATGTCCCCTCATCAAATAATGCGCTGGTATTGAGGCTGTAACCAAAAATTCTCGTCTCCTCAATGTAAAAAACCGTGTGTGTGTGTGGGGGGGGTCAGTTGGTTGACATTTAACGCTTTCATGCCTTTTAAATACACGCTATATGGATTTCACCAGCCCTGAAAAACAGAATAATCATTATCCTTTTAAAGCTCTACTGTGCCAGAGGTCATGGCTCAGTTACATCACTCATCATTTAGTCAATTAGATATTTTGCTCTTAGCCAAATTTGCTTAAACAAATGTGCGCATAAATGAAAAACTATCATTACAAGTCAACCAGAAATTCAATGGTTTTCCATCATATAATGGTGTAGTGAATGTTAAAAATTGGATTCTTGCTAGCTTATTAGTCAGAAACCTTAGGAAATGGTAAAAGTGTCCTAAAACACAGTTTTGTAAGAATGAACTTTGTGGAACTGGTATTATCCCAGTAATAATAATGGATTATCTTAGTGGTTTGATTTAGTAACATTACTAGCACTGTCTCTGCAGTCTAGGATTGCCTTTATTCTAGATGGTATCTATTTTTGACAGGGAAGAGCTAGTGTGATGGATTTCTGTATCCTTTTTCTAAGGTAGAATATTGTTCTAATATTCTCTATAGGCTTTCACAAAACACTGTTTTTAGGAATCCAATACAGAGGATTTTACTTAATAGCCACTATTCAACTTTTAAAACAGTCACTGACAATTGCCTCTAGAGTGTTCTTATCCCAATCTATCTTGGTTTCAGAAAAATACCTAATATATAGTTATTCCTTCCCACCTATTCTCTCCCCACAACACAAACCCCCCACAAGCTGTTACCCAGTGTTGGACCATCGTTATTCAGGCTTACAGTACTCATTTCTGCTTTAGGATTAATTTACCAACCACTTTTTTTTTTTTAAGATTTTACAAATGCCGCTGAAAATAATACTGTCTGATAGACAATAAATGTCCATTATTATATGAAAAGTAGCTCATGATAATTGTTCACTTGGAAATGTAATGAAATTTCAAAATGGGATCCCTGTGTTACAGGCTATGTGTATTGTTAAATTTTTTAATTTTTTTAAAGGATTTTATTTATTTATTTGAGACTGATACAGAGAGAGAGAGAGAGAGAGAGCATGAACAGAGGGAGAGGCAGAGGGAGAGGGAGAAGCAGGCTCCCTGCTGAGCCAGGAGCCTGATGCAGGGCTCGATCCCAGGACGCTGGGATCATGACCTGAGCCGAAGGCAGATGCCTAACCATCTGAGCCACCCAGGCGCCCTG